TTTTTTTTTTCCTTCTTTCTGACCAAAGCCTGAACTTCTGCCCAGCGCAGGGTGGTTGGTAGGCAGTGTGCGCCTCTCCGAGCCAAGCCAGGTCGGGCACTTCTGCAGATCCCTAAGTTTGGTTATTCTGGTTGTCCCACTCCGAAAACTCCTCCAGGTGCCACTTGAGTCCGGGCTCCGCGAACTCCGAGCCCCCGGGATGCGAGAGGTGGCTCTATCCGAGCCCCGAGACATGCACACGCGTGGGGAGAGAATGAGTCCGCGCTGGACCCCGTGTTGCCGGTACCCAGCAGCAGGACAGTGCAGATCTGATCCACTTTGCTCAATTTTTAGGGATTTTGGGGTGTGTTTGGGTTTTTTTTCTTTTTCTCTCTCTTTTTTTTTTTTTTTTTTTGGAAAGGTCTGTCCCACGTTCACCCTGCCGCAATGCCCATCCGCGGCCAATAAGAAACCTGTCTCGTTTTGCGGGTTTGCATTTAGGCAAATCACGTTAATAGCCGTTGCCCCTCGCACCTTGTCGGGCACCTTAACCTGGGCCAAATCACGTCCATCCTCCACAAATTTGCTGCCTGCCCTCCCCGTCCCGGGCCTTATCCCGCTGCCTGCAGCCTCACGGCTAAACGCACCCCCTGGGCCTTAAGCAAACGTTTAGGCATCAATTTGCAGCGGATTTGTGGAGAGGGGGAGCAAGAGGATGGCCTCGCCTGGAACAACAACTATATGTATATATATATATATACACTATCATATCATATAATATATATATATGATAATAATAATAATAAAAACAGTCGAGAGAAAGGGTCGGTGACGGGGAGAAGGTTGCAGCGAGCGGTGTTAATGCGAAGCAGGGCAGGGGGAGAGGGACATGCGCCGGTCACTCCCCTCGCCCTGGGTGGTCCGGGCTCGCACAAACACCCTGGGCCCCTCTGCCGAGCAGCATCCAGCCCGCTTATAACAATACTACCTATATACATTTCCATACTCGGATTACACACGGCCTGCTCGCAAAGTTGACTTCACTTAAGCAATTAGCTAGTAAAAATACCTTCGGCGCAGGAARAAGGAAGAAAGCTCGGATTTGTCTATTTTTACACAAAACACGGCCGGGTTTCGTGGAGCGAGGGGGAGGGAAGTCGCGAAGGGGACGGGGTTGGGGAACGTTTCGTTTGGGAAGCGGAGCGGGGCCGCGAGGAGGTGCCGGGAATAATCCCTGGGACTGGGCTGGCAAAAAATCCCGGTTCCCAAACGGCGCTGGAATTAAAAGGACTAATTGCACCAAATGATCCCTTTTCTTTTCTTTTTTTTTTTTTCTCTCTTTTTTTTTTTTTTTTTTTTTTTTTTCTCTCCTCTGCTGAGGGCTGGGGGCGGGCCTGATTAAGGCAACAAAAACATCAGAAAAAAAAAAAAAAAAGAGAGAGAGCAAAAGTGAGTCACGTTCATCTGCGAGCCAGGATCTACAGCCCAAGAAATCTTCCCGTCTTCGTTTGTTCCAAGAGCAGGTTTTTCACTCTGAAAGTATTTATTTCTGAGCCCTCTATGGAGGTTCTAGAAGAGAAAAAGTGTCGCTAACACCGCTCTCCGCGCTTGTTTTTCCCTTCTTTATTCCTCCAGCCCGGGCACAGCCCCTGCCGTTCCGGTACAAGATCCTTCTCCTCCATCAGAGCAAACACGGCCCGACATTTCCTCCCCTAATCGCTTATGCACCAAATTAACGGGCTCAGTTTACCATATAAAACGCCCCAACATTTCTGCTAATCCCACGGCGAGGCCTATGGAACCCAGGACGATAGATTCCCGTTTTCACGTTCGCTGGCTATAAGAAATAGGTCGGTAACCAAATCTTCACACTCCAAAAAGATTCTGCCGGGCAGAGGGGAGGAGAGAGCGCCCATGCGGAGACCGGGTTTGTTTGAAAGGGAAATCGTTTCATTTCCACGGAGAGATTTCTGCTCSCGTTAACACTTTGCTCCCACGGAAACGGTGATATTTCCTAGTGGAAATGTTGCCTATGGTGACATTTTTTTTTTTAAAAAAGAAACGCCCTCTATTTCTTTCTTGTTGTTGTTGTTTCGGGGTTGGAGTTAGCTCCTTCTCTTTGCATTTATTTTTTTTTCTCTTGGAGAGGTGGGGAGAGTGAATTGGGGAGAAGTCGCTAAGCGATATAAGGCAAAAAATCCCCCTTGGCGCTGCCGGGCGAGCGGCCGCTTTCTCGGCGCCTCCCGCCCCGGGGAAGACGATCGCTTCCCCCCAAAATGGTTTATTTGGGGGACGGCTGGTGTTAGCGAGGGGGGACATATTTGCGCCACGAGCACCAACACCCCGAAGCCCCCCTACCTCTGCCCTCACTGGTGCCTTGAGGCGGCGAAGCGGCCGCCGCTCCCTCCCCGAGCCCCGCGGCAGCCTTTTCGCCGCTTTTTAGGGAAAAAAAAAAAGCTGGAAATAGCCCCCTTCGCTCGTCCTTCCGTGGCTTCCGCCCCTCCTCGCCTCCACCTCCCCCCAAAGTCCCAGCTTGTGCCAGTCCGGCGCTGAGGGCTCCTTGTCGCCGTCCCCAAAGCGCCACCTCTCCCCTTGCACGAGGAATCGGCCGGTCGTGGTTTCTTTTTTTTTTTTTYTTTTTYTTTTTTTTTTKCCTTTTTTTTTTTTTTTCCGAACTGCGGTGGGGGGAGCTGATGGAAAGGGAAAGGAAAGAGTAAAAAAAAACAGCCCCCTATGTTAAATCCCTCTTGGTTGTATCACAGATGTGACAGGCGCCCTGGAGGCTACTAACAACTGCTTGCGAATAGCGTTGGAGGCGCTTTGGAAACCCGATCGGTATCTATCTCTCTTTCAAAAGGTATTAAATTATCATTAAAAAAAGAATCTTTAAAAGCGAATCTGGGAGGATGGGGGACTTCAGCAGGGTTGTTATGCTGGATGTCTCCCCCGTCGAGGCACGAACTGTGTGGCTGCAGCAGGGAAGACCCTTAGCACCCTGGTGCGGCCTGCAGTGGGGGGTCCTCTTTTTTTTTTTTTTTTTTTTTTTAACTCCCCCCCCCACACACACTTTCTCTCTGTCTTCCTTTCCCCAACCTTACAAGAGAGCTCTGCAGCAGTCAGCGGATCTACTCGGCTCCCGTTGAGCAGTCCTGAAAGCCAAGACAGCCCCGGCCGTCGGGGGTCCCCCCACCCCTTTCGCCCTCGGGGCGCAAGTTTCCACGCGCGGTCCGCAAGACAGTGACAAAGGTTTAAARCGACTTACCTTGAGGAGGGAGTGACAGCTCTCCTGATCGCAGGATGCTCAAAAGGGCTTTTTAGGGGGGAAGGAGGGAAGGGAACAGGGGGAGGAAAGGGGATCTGGTGACTTTGCCCCTACCATCACCACCGCTCCTCGGGTGTTTTTGTGCCTCTGGCATCCGATGGACCTGAGCATCGGACTCCTGGCACTCAACAGCAAACATTCACAATAGACTTATATTCCCCCTCTATATCCCCCCCAAAAATAGCCCCGAAGAAGTCTCAGTGCGGGCGCGAGTCGGTTCCCGTCCCCGCACCGGCGGCGGCAGGAATAAAAAGGGCATTTCGAGAGGCAGCAGGAGTTTTCGCCGATTTCTTTTTATTAAAGCACCCCCGAGCCCGTGTTTACATTGCGCAGTATAAACATCCTGCCCGGGCCCGCCGAGCTTAAAAAGAGCGCACGAAGAGGGGGTTTAAGTGGGTGAAGCTCCGCGAGGCGCGGAGGCCGCCGCGCCCGCGCGGCCTCTTCCCTCGCCGCGGCCCCGCGTGGGGCCCGTGGGTTTCGGCAGCGGCCAGAGCCGAGCGGGGCCAGGAGGGACGGAGCGGGGCGGGCAGTGGGGAGGCGCCGCGGTCACGCGTGGGCCCCCCCTTGGCGGGCAGGGCTGCGCAGCGCAGCCCCCCGGGCCGGGCAGGGCGCTGGGGAAGGGGCTCTTTAAAAGCGGCGCGGCCGCAGGGAGCAGGGAAGCGGAGCGGGGGGGCCGGGACAAGCGCGGCCGAGGGGGCCGCCCGCGTGGGCGTGGGCGAGCGGGCCGGGGCGGGGAAGTCCTCTCGGCTCTTACGTCTGTCAAGGAGCGGCGGCCGCCGCGGCGAGAGATAAAGTAAAAGGCGAGCGGCGGAGCTGGGGGCAGAACCGGCAGCCAGCGTCATGCGAAGCAGCTCCGCGCAGCAGCGGCCGCGCCAGCGCAGCTAGAGGGGACCAGGCGCGACACGGGCCCGCGGAGCAGCTTCCCCCTCCCCGCAGCCCCCCCTTCGTCCCGCCGCCTTTTGCAACAGGGATTTAGGGATAAAGTGGGAGGAGGGAAAGGCGGCGGAGGGCGGCGGGGGGGGGGGTCGCTTGTTTATCCGCGGAAGGGGTGAAGCCTCCCGGTGGAAGCCAGCCCGGCCCGGGGCCGGGACGAGGAGGAGGCGGAGGAGGAGGGGGCAGTCGCGGGGAGCCCCCCGGCAGCGTGGCCGTTTGGGGGGGCGCGGGGGGGAGGGCCGGGGCTGGCCGCCGCGGAGCTGGCCCTAGATGACTGCAGAAGCGCAGCAAGCTCTGTCCTCTCAGCCCCCTCCGCCGCCGGCGCAGAGCAGCTACGGCCCCATGTCCTCTGTGGCCGAGAAGCAGCCGCAGGGCTCGGCCCTGGACGCCGCCTCCGCGGCGCCCGCCGGGGCGGCCGGCAGCGCCCCGGGCAGCGGCGGCGCCCCGGGCGGCGGCGGTGGCGGCGGCCCCAAGGCGAAGAAAACGAACGCGGGGATCCGGCGGCCGGAGAAGCCGCCTTACTCCTACATCGCCCTCATCGTCATGGCCATCCAGAGCTCGCCCTCGAAGCGCCTCACGCTCAGCGAGATCTACCAGTTYTTGCAGAGTCGCTTCCCCTTTTTCCGCGGCTCCTACCAGGGATGGAAAAACTCGGTGCGCCACAACCTCTCTCTCAACGAGTGCTTCATCAAGCTGCCCAAGGGGCTCGGCCGCCCGGGCAAGGGCCACTACTGGACCATCGACCCGGCCAGCGAGTTCATGTTCGAGGAGGGCTCGTTCCGCCGGCGCCCGCGCGGCTTCAGGAGGAAATGCCAGGCGCTCAAGCCCATGTACAGCATGATGAACGGGCTCAGCTTCAACCACCTCCCCGAGAGCTACAGCTTCCAGGGCTCGGCCGGCGGCCTGTCCTGCCCGCCCAACAGCCTCTCCCTCGAGGGCGGCTTGGGCATGATGAACGGGCACTTGTCCGGCAACGTGGACGGCATGGGCCTTGCGGGACACTCCGTGCCCCACCTGCCCGCCAACGGCGGCCACTCCTATATGGGCAGCTGCACCGGCTCCTCGGCGGGCGACTACCCGCACCACGAGAGCTCCGTGCCCGCCTCGCCGCTGCTCGCGGGCGGCGGCGTCATGGAGCCGCACTCCGTTTACTCCAGCTCGGCCTCGGCGTGGGCGCCCTCGGCCTCGGCCGCCCTCAACAGCGGCGCCTCCTACATCAAGCAGCAGCCCCTGTCGCCTTGCAACCCCACGGCCAACCCGCTCTCGTCCAGCCTCTCCACGCACTCCCTAGACCAGCCTTACCTGCACCAGAACAGCCACAACGCCGCCGAGCTGCAAGGTGAGGACACGCGTGGGGGTGTGCGGGTACGCTGCCGAAATGCTGCCCCGTGGYGGGCCACGACCCCACGGGCTGGGTTCCCCCTTTGCCCCTTCTATGCCGTTGAGGCAGAGTTCCCCCGCAGCCTGGGTMGGTGCGGGGGAACGGGAGAGAGGCGATGTCATGGGGATCACAGGACCGGGAGAAAATTAGTGGGAGACGGCGGAGCTGCGTGCTGGGGAAAGTAATTCCCGGTAGCCGTGGGGTGTCCGGCACCGGGAGCGATCCCGCGATCAAAAGGGACCATTTTCCCGGCCGTGGCGGCCTYGTTTGTCCCCAGGACGCTGCAAGCGGCTGCCCTCGGGCCCAGCTCCCGGACCTCCCGCCGCGGCCCCGGGCCGGTCCCGGTCCAGGTCCCGAGGACCAGGAGTCGGGATAGGAGATGTGGGGTGGAGGGACACCCTGGAGCCTTGGCCGCTCCGGGCCGGCCTGGAAAGGGCCTAGGGAGGAGGGCGGCGCTCGCAGAACTTGGACGGCTCTGAGGCCGGGCCGGGTTCGCTGGGGCCGGGCCGCAGCCTGGGGAGGAGGTAGCGGCGGCTCCACGGGCGCCTCTCGCCTGCTCCGCGATTGCTCCGAGCTCCGGGCCGYGGGTTTCTCCTTAACCTCGGGGCGCCCGGCCCGCTGGCAAAGAGAAATATCGCGCGGGGAAGGGAAGCGAATGGAAGGGAAAGGGCCTCGGCGGTGACTCAAATACCCCCAATTCACTTCCGTGTGGTGCGGGAGAAACACGACCTCTCCACGGCCGGTGATCCCGGGTTTGTCCCGCTCCCCGGGAGGGCTGCGGCGTCCCGGGAGCGCGGCCCAAAGGGCAGAAACGGTTGCGCTACCGGCGGCCTTTTCGCCTCGGCGCCGGCCTGAGCCCGGGCCCGCTCTGCGCCCCGCGGGAAGGGCCCTGCGCCCTCGCATCGCGGCGCCGAAGGCTCAAAATGTGGAAAAATAAAGAAAAAAAAGTGGGGAAAAAAAAAGTGAAAAAAAAAAACGAGAGAGAGAAAATTCCAGTCTGGTCGCAATGTCCTTGGGCCGGGCAGGAAAGCGCCGCGCCGTCCCGCCTGGGCGCAGCGAGCCCTCGGGGCCGCGGGGATTTCCTCCGCGGCACCTGTCCGCGCCCGCGGGCCCCGAGATTTGCGTGCGTGGAAAATAATAATAATAATAGCAATAATAAAATAATCCGCGGCGAGGTGCGACGGTTCGCAGAGTGGCTCCCTCTGCCCCTGAGGCCTTGTCTCGCTGCTTAACCTCCTTTGCTAAATATAATTACGAAGGCTGACAATTTTYTTCCCCCGTCCCGCAGGCATCCCGCGGTATCATTCCCAGTCTCCAAGCATGTGCGACAGAAAGGAATTCGTCTTCTCTTTCAACGCCATGGCCTCCTCCTCCATGCATTCAGCGGGCAGCGGCTCCTATTACCACCAACAAGTGACATACCAGGACATCAAGCCGTGCGTTATGTGATACGGGGCGGAAAAGGCACCTCCCGCCGCCCCCCAGGCCTGACCCGGCTACCGAGCTCCCGCCCGGACCCGTTCCGAGCCCGGCGGGCTCCGCAGACTGGCCCGGCGCGGCCCCGCGGAGCGCCCGGACGCCTGGGCCCGCTGCGCGCGGCCGGGTGCAGACGCGTGCGGGCCCCGCGGCGCCTCCGCTGAGCATCGGCGGGAGCCCCGGCTCCCAACACGTGTCTTTAATCAAGGACGGTCTCTGCCTTCTTCTGCGTCTCCCTTCGGGCTGCGGCGGGTGAGGAAAAGACGAAAGCACCCCCCAAATCTCCGCCTCCTGCCCGCGATCCCCAACTGCAATTTTGGGTTAAAAGTTTCACAAACGAGGGTGTGATTTTTACTTTTTACCCCCCTTCTTAAAAAGGTAAATGGCTTGGTGTAAGTCAAAGCACGAAGCGAAGGCTGCAGCGAGCTCCAGCCCCGGCCGCGCCATCGGGGCTGCCCCAGCGAGTCCCAGCGCCGCAAACGAGCCCCCAAAAACCGCAGTCTCCTCTCAGTTGGAGCCTCTTCTTCGGAGAAACACCATAAAAAATACTTTTTTTTTTTTTTTTTTTTTTTTTTAATGTTGCCGCAAACACACACCCGGCAAAAATCTCTCAGAGAGATTTTTTTTTTAGCTATTAATATTTTTTTTTGTTGCCTGCATAAACACTGCAGGATCAGCCCCTATGCAGAGAGAATAAGGCACTTTGWAAAGAGACAGCCATGCTCATTCTGTTATTTATTCTTCATTATTTTTTTTGTTGCTAATAATCGAGACAGGAGTAGTCTCAGTTGATCAGTATTAAAGCGGTGGATCTCTGTTGGCAATATTTGCCATATAGATTTTTTTTTTAGTTAACCTTTGTAAATTTTAAATCGGTCATGGTCTCTGTGTAAAGACAATCCTCCATATGTTTTTATAGAAATATATATATAATGAAGGATTATTCCCCTCYGTCCTCCCCCTCCTTTTTTTTCCATCCCTCTTTGTACAGTTTGATGACACCTATTTTAATTTCTTTCTGCACTGTATAAAAATGTAATTATGATTTTTTTGGCCCAGCCCTTTTGTGTACGTTTGTCCCTAAGGAAAAAAAAAAGAACCAGAATAAAACATGTATGTTATTTGTACATGGGCTTCATGTATGAGCAGCAAATAAACGAGCATGCGGTGTAACACGCGTAATTATATATCCGCGGAGTGTGCGGCCAGGGCGCGGAGGTTCCGCGGKAAGCAGCGGGGATGGCCTCGGCCCTGCCGCTCCTCCGCTGCCAGCGCCGGATATTTAGGAATTTCGGTGCATTTTGTAAATTTGGAGGGACAATTTCCCGGCTTGCTGCAGGCCCGCAGCGGCTGCAGCTTCCCCTGTGCCGGCGATCCGCGAGCACCCACAGGGATATTGCAAGTGAGAGTAACGAGACGCAAATTGGGGAGCGATTATTACTTGTTTTTCCCCCGAAAGGAGAAACTGAACGGCGGTTTTTGACAGCTCGGCCTGCCTTTGCTTGCACACAGCCCRGGGCGCCGGAGAGAAGCGGCCCTGGGCCCTTTTCCTCTTTTTCCTCCTTTTCAGGCCACAGGGATATATTTTTTAAACTCACTCACGTGTCCCGCACCCTTCTCCGCAGCGAAATCGCCGGCTCCAAGCAGAAAAAAACCCGACCAGGGAGAAAATCTCCCTGCTTTTCGAGCTCAGTTGCTTCGAGCCGGGTCAGAGGACACAAAAGCCTTCCTAATTATTATTATTATTATTWTTWTTWTTTGTCTGGAAATGAAATGCCAGCAGGTAAATAGAGGCTGATATGACTTGTGTAAAACCCAGAGCTGGGTTTGAGAAGAATAAATATGTGAGTACACACTGCAAGCGGGAGCACGCATAGTTCATCTGACAGAAAATTTGTGGGTTCTTTCTTTCTTTCTTTCTTTCTTTCTTTCTTTCTTTCTTTCTTTCTTTCTTTCTTTCTTTCTTTCTTTCTTTCTTTCTTTCTTTCTTTCTTTC